CGTACCTACGGTCACTGCCCAGCTTCGCCCAAACCACACCTGCGACCATTGGCTCGTACCTGCGACCTCGCACCTACGGCCCTTTTTGCGCAGGTGCGATCACACCAGATATCAGCTGCCTCATCTTTTTTTCCAAGTCCAAACTCGATCCGTTAACCATCCGGAATCCACCCGAGTCCCTCGGAGCCTCAACCAATTATACCAACACGTCCCAAAACACATTACAAACTTACTCGAGCCTTTAAATCACATCCAACAACATCGAAACTACGAATCACCCTCCAATTCAAACTCAATGAACTTTAGAACTTCAAACTCCTACAATTGATGCCGAAACCTACCAAATCACGTCCGATTGACCTCAAATTTTGCACACAAGTCATAATTAGCATTATATATCTATTCCAACTTCCGGAATCGGAATCCGGCCCCAATAACAAAAAGTCCAGTCCCAGTCAAACTCTCCAAAAACCTTCAAATTTCTAACTTTCACCAAATGACCTACGGACCTCCAAATCCACTTTCGGACGCGCTCCCAATACCGGAATCACCATACGGAGCTATTCCCAGACTCGGAATCTCAAACGGACATTGATAACAATGAAATGAACTTCAACTCAAATTATTGAAATTCTTCCAAAATGCCAACTTCCATAATAGGCGCTGAAACGCTCCCGGGTCATCCAAAACCCGATCCGAACATACCCCTAAGTCTAAAATCATCTTACGAACCTGTTGGAACCTTCAAATACCGATTTCGAGGCCATTTACTCAAAAATCACATCTTAGTCACTCTTTCCAACTGAAAGCTTCCAAAATGAAAATTTTCTTTCCAAATCAACTTCGAACTTTCTGAAATTAAATTCCGACCACGCGTACAAGTCGTAATACCCGAAGTGAAGCTGCTTAGGGCCTCAAACCGCTGAACAACATGCTAGAGCTCAAAACGACCGATCGGGTCATTATAGAAAATTACCGACCAACTTCAGTCGGAAATATCGACAGCCTAAGGTCGATAGCCGTTAGCGACCACCATTATTTTTTCGACGAATTGAAAACGATCGGAAATCGGTCGATTTTCTGGATACTTTATGATAGTTTTTTAGTAGTGTATAAACTCAATTATACCATTTTACGGGTAAACACTTGTCAAAAGTAAATTTTAATGAATTTATTGGAAATTTAAAAATAAAAGTTGAATGACTTTATGAGAAAGAACAAAATATTATTCTATTAGGTTTGCGGTAAAATGTGAGTAACCATCCTGTAACGACCCGACCGGTCGTTTTGAGCTCTAGTGCGTCGTTCGACGGTTTGAGGCCTTGAGCAGCTTTACTTCAAGTATTATGACTTGTACGCGTGGTCAAAATTTAATTTTNGCTCTAGCGCGTCGTTTGGCGGTTTGAGACCCTAAGTAGCTTCACTTCAGGTATTATGACTTGTACATGTGGTCGGAATTTAATTTTGTAAAGTTCGGAGTTGATTTGGAAAGAAAATTCTCATTTCGAAAGCTTTAAGTTGGAAGAATTGACTAAGGTTGGATTTTTGAGTAAACGACCTCGGAATCGGGATTTGAAAGTTCCAGTAGGTTCGTATGTTAATAAGTGTACGAGTCATATTATTAGTGATATGGGGTCTAAGGAGAGCCCTAAGTCTAAGTCAAGTTGAAAATTATATGATAGACTAAAGTTCCAAATACGTACACAACAAACCTAACTTTGGATGAGCATGCCTACATATATATGTCTATATATATATGTATGTATATATACATACATATAAATGAAAGATTTTTGAGTCTAGTTTCTAACGCTTTAAACCGTTCGTCATTTGGATATTTCTACAAGGAGTTTTGGACGTTTTAGTAAAAGGTGTCCAAATGNAACCGTTCGTCATTTGGATATTTCTACAAGGAGTTATGGACGTTTTAGTAAAAGGTGTCCAACATGGGGAAAACTTGTAATACGAGGTACAACCTGCACAGCGCAAGGTACAACTCGCTGAAGCATCTATGCCTATATAAGGCAGTCACGGGCAGCAACCAATTTTGGAAATTTTCTTGAGCTAAGGATTGGTTCTTTCATGGTGGATTCGACCTTGGGGACTACTTAAGAATACAATGTGAGTTTTTTTTGGATATTTTAAGCTAATAACATCCTATTAATACTAGTATTAACATCCTTCAATCTTTGAAATTCCTAGAAATCATTCAAGTTGTTCAAGAACACCAAATTTCCCAAACATTAAAATTTTAAGGAAAAGCTTCAAGAAGGTAATACTAATGCTTCAAGCTCATTTCTTATGAGTCGGTGAGAGTAATTCTAATATTTGTTTCAAGTTGTTATGGTTGGATAATTGATTTCATAAACCCTAGTTCATGGCATGAATAGTGTTCTTGAGAAAATGAGGAAAAGATAAATAGTGTTCTTAGAAATAAAATTAAAGGATGCAATGAACCTATGGAATCATTTTTCTAGCTTAGTTGGAAGTGTTCAACTAAGTAATCACCAAATTGAATGTTTTGAAAATGTTGGTTAAGGAAGACGATGAATAGTAATTTGGCGATGTTGGAGAATTAATGTAGTATTATTGATGACTTCAAATAGGTATTAAATGATAGGAGTGGAGTTGAATGTGCTAGTAAGTGAACCTATTAGACGATTTGAGTTGGAGGCTAGTAGCCAACTTGTGAGCCATAAATGGATATTGATAAATATTTTTGAATCATATTTTGATTGTAATTGAGATTGTAATTGTAGATATCAATTTATTGGTGGCGTATGAGCATTTTGCTCAATGTTACGATGTCGGAGGAGGATTAAAAGCTTGTGAATGTTAATAAAGTGAAAGCGAGTTTTGGAGCGTTGGGCATCGGTCGAGTTGTTTGAAAGGCTTGGGAGCCGGCTATGAAATTTCGGAACGAGGTAAGTCTCTTGTCTAACCTTGTAAGAGGGAATTTACCCCCTAGGTGATTTAAATTAATAATTGTTAATTGTGGGGGCTACGTATGCACGAGGTGACGAGAGTCCGTGCGTAGCTACTAATATTACTAAGTCCGAATAGTTTAGGACTCAAATCATGAATTACTTGTGATAATTGCATCTTTCAGTTAATTGAAATATTGGAATTTTTATTGTAAATTGGTAGAGGAAATAATAAGAGACTTAAATTTCACATACTTGAATTTTTGCTCAAATTATTTAACTGTTGCTATAAACTATACATCCTGGTGTGTAAATCTTAATAAATATAAATATATTCTCATTCTAGAGGTACATAAGAAAATGTCCTCTTTTCTTATGGAGCGGGCCGAACGCCTCGACAGTATAGATGCATCTATGGATCGCGTCGCACGTCCCTCGGCAGTGTACACAACACTCTGGATGGGGCCAAACGACCTCGGCAGACATCGTGCCTAATAATAATAATTACACGATACTTCGCTATTTATTACAGCTTGTGAAATTAATTAATAAATTGGGAATGGTCGCATTTGAAGGAATTTAATTATTTCTGCTGGTTAAAGAAAATTATTGTTAATCTTATAAATCATGTTGATTTAATATTTTTATTTTTAATATTATTGACCCTTAATGAGTGTCAAAGTCGATCTCTCGTCACTACTTCTTCGATATTAGGCTTGATACTTACTGGGTACACGTTGTTTACGTACTCATGCTACACTTGCTGCACATTTTTGTGCAAGTACGTATATGTCTAGCGGCCTTGTGGGCGCAGAGGTGTGGTTAATGTTGAGACTTAGGTGAGTTGTATTTTATATTACGATCCGCAACCAGTAGAGTCTCCTTCAGAGTTATTTATATTTTTCTTGTCTAATTTGTATTCTGGACAGTTGTTGTATTTTATTTTGTATTCCTAATAAATGCTCATGCACTTATGACACCGGGTTTTGGAAGGATTATGGGTTGTTCTGTATTGAATTTGTTAAAAGTATTATTATTTACACTGTAAATCCCCATTCTTTACTATGTATATTAAAGGAAACTATGATTTCAAAAGTAATAAAAATGAGAACCCAATTTAGTATTTATTGTTGGCTTGCTTGACAGTGATGTCCGGCGACCGTAATGAATTTTGGGTCGTGACACATCCATTGTTACTGCCAAGGCATGAAATTAACGTTAATTCTCGTCACTCTCATAATTGAAGAAAAAAGGAGGAGTCCTAAAATGTTGAAAAGGAAAATATAATTTTCCGTTGCCGGGAATTGAACCCGGGTCTCTCGGGTGAGAGCCAAGTATCCTAACCGACTAGACTACAACGGACTGATGAAGTTCTTTTACTGCATATCATTAAGATTCAAACTTTTCTTGTTTTGTTTTGCCATGTGGCATAAAGATTTTTGTATCTCATAATATTATTACATTAATGGAATTACTGTGGAAATATTTTTACATTGATTAGGTATAAGAATTTCATTTTATAGTATTGATATTACAAGAAATTCTGATTGCTCTTTACCCCTCCAAGAATAATGTAGTTGCTCTAGTGAAGTTATTGATTCAGTCACTGTTAGAGACCCATTTCTTTTATAAATCATGGAAATTTTGTTAAAATTTTCTACGTTTCAAATAATCAAATAAATTAGTATTTAAGATACAATATTGATCGCAGTTTAACACGATTCTGCAAAAGCGCTTCTCGTTATCTCAAGACAAGATATGAAATAATATGTCCATAAGTTTGCATATCATTTTGTTTGACTGAAAATTCATGACATTATCATTTTATCGATTCAAACAAAATTCTAAGTCCACTTCAACAGTTTGCTTATCATGTATAGAGTTTATTTTATGTAGTTTAAGTTTTGTGCACTGATATGTGATATTTATATTATCATGTTAAGTATTCTTATGATAACAGGTAAATTCCATAACAGCATTTAATAATATCTTGAAAAATAAAGTTATAATTTGCTATAATAAATTGAACAAATTACACTAATATATGTTATCAACGCATATAAGTCTGGCATCAACTTGGATAAAAATTCTTGTAGTTTATTTAATCTCAAATGCATTTATTTTCATTGGTAACAGACAGTGGAGTGTGGAATGTGGACATACATGAGAAAATTTCGCATTCACAGGTCCAGGCTTTCTGTCAACTCTGCATTAGTCAAAAATATCTCAAGATTCTGATTATTCGTTACCAAATACAAAGAAAAACCAAATAAAAATTCTTCTTTTTTACTTCAAAAGTTTGTATCTTTCATCTTATTTACAAATATATATTTTGCAAGATGAATTCAAGAATATATTTATTAGTACAAGTTAGCACTTAGCAGGACAAGAAAACCATTAACACCTTTAACTTTTTTCTTCAATTTACGAATGGAAAGCATTTTGTGGAATGATACGTATTTTTTTATCTTTAACCGAAGTCGTTCGAGCACTTTACGCCCCAAAATGAGGCTTTTCGACACGAATCTGGATTAGTCAAGTCCCAAAGCGGGTATTGAACACCTGATTTGCTTATTTATTAATAAAAACAATATATAAAGCTTTGAATTTCCTATATAAAGAGTTATGTAATAACAAAACATTTTTCCTCGTCCCTCAATAACTCTTGATCCTAGAAAACGAAAAGAACATAACGAAAAATATCTTCATTAAGAAGAAATTAAAAATATTTACAGGCAGAATTAGGTACTTTCATTTTAGAAGAAAAAATAGGCTTTGTTGATTGATGACATATTAGTAACTTTTGCTAATTCGATAAAAAAACAAAATACCCACCTAGTGTGACTCTCTCACTTTTCAGTTTACAAACATTAAAGAAATATGAAATTAAGAAATTAGTAAATAATGAAAGTTGTAGAAGTTGAGAGTCTGGTACAATATTAATTGGGCCTTTGAGATTATAGATCACGCTTGTAGATTAAAGCATAATCCATAAATAACACCACAAAATCTTTTCTTCCATTTGGACAATTTAAGCTTGAAATACTCAGCCCCAAAAGAGGATTGCTAATGTAAACAAAATGGTTCTCATCATACCAATCACCATTCAACAAATTAAAAATTGAATCCATTACGAGAACCAATTAATTTCATGTTTTTTTAACAGTAACGCGGAATAGGTTAACATCAAAAGGCAAGATGCTGGGTCTAGGGTGTGTTATGTTGAGGAAGAGGCAAATCCGAAAATAGAGAAGATAAATAACATCAAATTTTAACGTGGAAAATTCTTCAAATTGAAGGTAAAAACCACAGGATCACAAAGATTCAAAAAGATTCACTATAATAAAAAGAGGATTACAAAAGTTCTTCAAATTGGCTGCACAATAAGTGTCAAACACGGAGCAACAATAGCAATAAGAACAACAACAAATCAAGAGGAGAAATCACAAAAAATGAAGCCGTCACACCCCTTTTTTCACCTTAACTACCCTTTAAAAGATAAAAATGGTTTTTAAAGCTCAAATGGCTTTCAATTTGAAAGTGACAAAAATATTTGTTTAAAAGGGATTTTCCAGAGTCGCCACTTGACATGAATCTCGGTGTGCCAAATCACCGTTTAAAAAATAATTTTCCCTTAAAAATATTTTTGACTTTAAAACATAGTCTGCACTAGAAATTCCGAGAAATGGGGTTCATTTGACTAAGAGAGAAGGTGTTAGGCATTCCCCGAGTCACGTAACTAGTACGGTTGCATACTTGATCCGCTTTAAAGAATACTCGGATTGAGGTAAAAACAAACAAGAGGCTCGAGGTTGTCCCCTACCTGAAAGGAAAAGAAAAGAAAATAAAAGTCCTAAACTAGCCTATACTAATATTTGCTCGAAGGATGTCCGCCTTCAGTCTTCAATTGCATTCACTACGGGGCATACCCCGGATAAAAATATATACAAGCTTCTCGGAGCATTCCCCGAATAAAATAACAAACTACGGGACAACCTCTAACCTCGAAAGGAACGGGCCTAAAGTTTGCCTACTCCAGTGTGGTCGGCCTAAACGTACTACTAGTGAATAATAATAAAAATGAGAATAAGTAAATAAGAGAAACTAAAAGAAAATTCAAATTGGGTTCATGTTCTTTTAACTTATCATTTTCATGTATTTAGATCAAGTCCAATCCTAAAGCATGCAGATTAAAGCATGCAGATAGTTTAATCACTAATGGGCCTAGCCTTTCCGCGACCTACGTTCATCTTTCATGATAAGCATAAATCAAACCAAACAACCAACTAATAAACATCTAAACAATTGCTCATGGACAAACAAATTGCCAATACGTCGTGGTCATGGCAAAATGGTTAAAAGAAAATAGTTAACCATCTATATTATTCACTAAAAAATGGGTTGGATAATAAACTTTTAAAAAACGGGTCAAAAATGGATAAGAACCATATTATCCATTTAGAAAATGGATAACTAATGGGTTTAACTTTTACATTTTTAAAGTCTCAAATTTGAAGTTTCTCAAGTTTGAGAGACTAGAAATTCTCCCAAAAGTGATCATATTCAAGGAGTCATAGACCATATTATCTGCCGGTTAATCCATTTTTTATCCGTATAAAATATAGATCGGATCGGATAATTTATCCGTTTTTTTATTATCCGCTTTCAACTCATTCTATATCTGACCCGACCCGCCCGTTTGACACCCCTGGGTAAGTTTGAGGCAACTCTCAACACATTCACATCACAATAGCACTCAATCATATCTAAAAGGATTAACACCTTAAAGACTCGCAACCTGACATACAAATAGTTGTACAAGAACCAAATACGCTCAAACTAATTTTTAAGCAACTTCAAAAGACTCAAACATGCCTATAGTAAGGTTATTGAAGTTCAGAAATAGTATTATGACATTTTTTTACCTTCTATAACATTCCACGAGTGAATCTCAAACTAGAAATCTCAACTAACAATTAAATTAAATTTAAAAAAAAATCAGATTCGACCTTCCTTAAAATGAAACTTAATGAAAAACATGAAATTATCAGATAGATGATTCAGCTAAGATTTCTACAGCAACACACTGATATCTGAAACCAGGGAAGATCAAATATACACTAACAAGACATACAAACGAGGCTAAGATAAAAGGCCAATACCATACTTATCACCATAGAGCACGAAATAAATGAAAGAAGGGAAAGAAATAGACCTCACAAGAAGTTTTCTTAATTGATTTGCTGCTCAGATGTGTTATAAGGAATGCCGATGACGAAATTTGATCGAAAACAGCTACAAAATCTGAAAAATGGAGTATATATAGAGAACCTAGAATGTTCTCTTCTTCCTCTCCAAGAAATGGATAAAAACTCCTCTAAGAAAATAATCCGAAATTCTAGACAAGTGGAAGTCTAGGATCAAAGAATATTAATCCTGAGGCATCCAATTTTCTAAAAATCGTCAAAAAGAATTCGGATTTATGATTAGTAAAGGAATAAAAATGATGGAAGATTCGAGTGAGTGGGAGTTTGTTACGTGTCCGGCCACGTGGAGGGAAGAGAAGAGGAGTAGGGGACCAAAACCGCGTCGCCGGATTTTTCCAGTTTCCGGCGATGGGAGTGGGGATGGGCGTGGAAATAATGTGGAAATAATGTGGGCTGTTGGATTAAAAAGGATGGAGGGTGGAGATTAAAGAAAGGGAGGAAGATGGGACAGGCGAGTATGGGCGCGGGTTAATGGGTTTCGCGGGTCAGGGATGGCTGATGGCCAGAATTGGGTTGGAGGGAAGTGGGCTTCAGGTGGGTTGGAAATTGGGCTGAAGATCAGGCCAATTTTTTCCCTCAAATTAGTTCAAAACTAAGCCCTTTAAATCTGAAATTTATAGATAAAAACATTAATTTCTCCTTCTAAAATAAAAATACTATAAAACAAATTAATTTTTAAATAATTAAAATAGACTATATTATAATGTGAAACTATTTTTGGTATTTTTCGAAGATTATATAAAAATAAAAGTAGAGAAAAAGTTGAATAAAATGGTAGCAAAATTAGAATAATATCACTACAAAAAGGTTAATGACCTTAACTTCACATAATAAGATAAAAGTTATATATTTGTATTTTCATTTGTGTCTTACAATTAAAAATAAAAAGGTAGACTCAAATAAATATTTAAAATATGCAAAAATACTAATATAGCTTGCAGACAAGTCGGGTAAAAAATTACGTGCTTGCTGTTCGGGGCTCGAAATCGGATCCTATAAGCAATCAAATCCGATTCGTTCACCGTTGGATCGGGTGAAATGGCGAAAATCTAAACCAACATTTGGTAAATTACTTTTAAGGGGTCCTTTGATTGGTGCAATAAGGAATTATAACCGTGATTAAGTTTGTGACTATTTTATATTCCACTTTTAGTTGAATTTTCGAATTTGGGATTAGTTATTATAAAATTGTGGTATTATTCTATCACACATTGAGGGTTGAGATAATAATTCTGGGATACTAATGTAGGTGTAAAACATTTACGGAATTAAATTCATAAATTAATTTGGACTATATTTTAAATTCAAGATATATTGGTCCAAATAAATATTATGGGCTAATATAATTGAATTAATTATATAAATCCAATATATATGGATTAAATAAATAAGTCTTAATCCATTGGGCTAGCCCATTTAATTGGGCTAGAGTGATGAGCCCACTTCATTAAGCCCAAGATGTCATCTTTCTAGAGGCCCAGTTTGGTGCCACGTGTCAAATGACGTGGCATACCAAGTCAAACAGAAGAGCCAATGGGATCATGCCATGTGTCAAAATGACAAAGCATGTCAAGTCAAATTAAAAGGCCAATGAAATCACGCCACGTGTGCAAGTGACATATTCTAATCAATCAAATAGTGCCTTGTCACTCTTCAATCTGATTGGTCGGAAAGGTTCTCATCACAATTCTTTCCTCTCACATCTATAAATAGGGGTCTTCATAACTCAAAAAAGATATCAGAAGTTATAACAAGAAGCAAGAGAGAGCTCGTGGATCAAACGCTGCAAATTTCTCTACAAGTTTCAAGCTTCAAGCAATCAATTTCAAGTCTAATAAATCAAGTTCAAGCTCAAGAATGAAGAACAAATCAAGGTTCAAGGAGTACTGTAACAACCCGACTTGTTGTTTTAAGAATTAACGCCCCGCTCAGTGACTTAAGGTCTCGAGCAACTTCATAATATGTATTATGACCCGCGGGTGTGGTCGAGTTTGATTTTTCGAAAGATTAGAATTAAATTGAAAGAACAATTCTTATTTAGAAGCTTAAATGGAAAGAGTTGACCGGAGAGTTAGGCCTGTGCTCAGATTTGGATTTGAAAGTCCATAGGATAATTTGCATTTTGACGAAAGTTGAAAAATAGAAGATTTTTAGAAAGTTTGACCGGGAGTTGACTTTATTGATATCGGGGTTGAAATTCGAATTCGAAAATTAAAACAGATCCATTATGTTATTTATGACTTGTGTGCAAAATTTGAAGTCATTTCGGATTGATTTGGTATGCTACGGCGCAAATTATAGAATTTGAAAATTTCATAACTCATAATTCGATTCGAGGCGTGATTCATTATTTCGGCGTTGTTTTGTGTGATTTGAGATTTCAACTAAGTTCATATGATATTTTAGGACTTGTTAGTATGATTTGACGGGTCCCGAGGGGCTTGGTTGTATTTTTAGATCATTGGTTGAGAGACTAGCAAAGTTAAAAAATTTGAGAGTTTGACCATGGTCAATATCGGGTCAAGACGACCTCTTTTTAAGTGTTTTGAGTGCGCGAGCAGGTCCGTAGCATATTTTATGATTGAAATTCATATATGGTTTGTGTCCGGGAGGTTCCGGGATAGTTTCAGGGTGGTTTCGGATCATTTCGGAGAAGTTTGAGTTTGCTAGTTTCTGGTGAGGTACTGTTCATTCGCAATTGCGAGTGAACAGTGTTTTCGCAATTGTGTAACAACCCAAATTTTCGTTTTAAGAATTAACGCCCCGCTCAGTGACTTAAGGTCTCGAGCAGCTTCATAATATGTATTATGACCCACGGTTATGGTCGAGTTTGATTTTTTGAAAAATTTAGAATTAAATTGAAAGAACAATTCTTATTTAGAAGCTTAAATGGAAAGAGTTGACTAGAGAGTTGACTTTTAAGCAAACGACCACAGAATGGAATTTTGATGATGTCAATAGCTTCGTATGGTGATTTCGGACTTAGGTGTGTGCCCGGAATTGGATTTGGAAGTCCAAAGGACAATTTGACGCATTTTGGCGAAAGTTGAAAGATGAAAGATTTTTAGAAAGTTTGACTGGGAGTTGACTTTATTGATATCAGGCTCGAAATTCGATTCCGAAAATTAGAACAGATCCATTATGTCATTTATGACTTGTGTGCAATATTTGAACTCATTCCAGATTGATTTGATACGCTTCGGCGCAAATTATAGAATTTGGAAATTTCATAACTCATAATTCGATTCGAGGCGTGATTTGTTGTTTCGGCGTTATTTTATGTGATTTGAGATTTTAACTAAGTTCGTATGATATTTTAGGACTTGTTGGTATGATTTGACGGGTCCCGAGGGGCTTAGTTATAATTTTGGATCATTGGTTGAGAGACTAGTAAAGTTAAAAATTTTGAGAGTGTGACCATAGTCAATATCGGGTTAAGACGACCTCTTTTCAGTGTTTTGAGTGCGTGAGCAGGTCCGTAGCATGTTTTATGATTGAAATTCATATATGGTTTGTGTCCGGAAAGTTCCGGGTGAGTTTCAAGGTGGTTTCGGATCATTTCGGAGAAGTTTGAGTTTGCTGGTTTTTGGTGAGGTACTGTTCATTCGCAATTGCGAAAACACTGTTCATTCGCAATTACGAACCTTTTATCGCAATTGTGAAAACACTGTTCATTCGCAGTTGCGAACCATTTATCGCAACTGCGAAAACACTGTTCACTCGCAATTGCGAAAAATTTGTCGCAATTGCGAACACTGTTCATGGGAGGTACTGTTCATTCGCAAATGCGAACCTCGGCAAAAACTTAAGGATTGAAAATCTGTCATTTCTTCACTTTCGATTGGGATTTTTGGAGCTCGGATTTGGGCGATTCTGGAGGGATTTTTTACAAGCTTGGTTGGGGTAAGTGTTCTATATCCTAAAGCGATTATATTTCATAAATCTATGATTATATTCATCGTTTAATACGGATTTAAATGGAAGAAATCAAGATTTTTGCAAAATCTTCCAAAAAACAAAAATTTAAGATTTGGAGGTCGAGTTGTTATCGGAATTTGATAAAATTGGTATGGTTGAACTCGAATCGGAATGTGTGTTCGGATTTCATAAAAATTATGTCGGGTTCCGAGAGGCGGGCCCCGCGTTAACTTTGGTTGACTTTTTAGAATAAATTTTTAAGTCGATATTTTATTATCCGGAATTATTTTCGATGAATGTTAATGAAGTTTTACAATTAATTTCGATAGATTTGAACGGTCCGGAGGTCAATTCAAGCAAGAAGGCAATTTTGAAATATCGGCATAACTTCAAAAAGGTAAGAATCTTGCCTAACCTTGAGTGGGGAAATTACCCCTTAGGCATTGAGTCTTATGTAAAAAATGTGTGATTGGAAGCCGTGTACGCGAGGTGACGAGTACGTACTCGGGCTTATATGTGTAAATTTTATTGGTTTAAAGTTTTAGGCATCTTTATGTGTTAAATTAGATAATTGTTGGCATTTGGTAAATCCTTGAATTATCACGCCTCGTTCCTTATTTGCCAAGTTTGTATGTTATATAATAATTTTGTGTTATTGTCACTTGAATTTTATGTGAATTCCGTGTGTTTGTTGATTTGATATTTTTCTTGGAATTAAATTTATGATGGAATCCTTATCTGTAAATATTTATAAAATAAGTTTAAATTGAGGAGTTAATATAATTATCAAGAATTTGGATTAATGAAGGCGTTACCCTATACTGAGTATTTTTCACCTCTGTTGGTTGTTTTGAGGTTTTATATATATTGTGTGGAGCCTTGGGCTATTTGTTGAGAATTTTTTTGATTCTGCTATATATTTAGAATTTGGTTGTGGTCGGTGGCAAATTGTGATATGAATTGTTATATTGTGTTGTGGTTTAAACACTCTCCTTGATGTTATTTATGCTTCCTACCTTGCTTGTTAATGATATACATGTACTTGGTAAGGAAGAGTGTAAAGCATGAAGGGTGATGCCGTGCCATTTGAGAGTGTAAAACACGAAGAGTGATGACGTGCCATTTAAATTATATTATCATGTGAGGGAGAGTGCAAAGCACGAAGGGTGATGCCGTGCCATTTGAGAGTGTAAAGCACGAAGGGTGATGTAATGTCATTGAGAGTGTAAAGCACGAAGGATGATACCGTGTCATTTCATTTATATTATCAAGTGAGGATGGGAGTAAAAGCACGAAGGGTGATGCCGTAACATTATTTTTATATTATCATATATTCATGGCCCGAAGGGTGTTTCCGTGTAGGCGAGAATGAGAGACATACATTATATTGTGATATCATTTTGTTGTGTATATATTCATGCCTTTATCTTGAGATGCTATTGTGCACCTATATTTTCTATATG